AAGACCCAGAAATTATACTTAAAAATTTTGTGAATATGATTTGTGCATTTTCATAGGGAGAGTCTTTATAACTTTTACAAGACTCCAAAAAGATGTACAAGGCCCAACAAAGTTTAAGAAGCCTTTCATCAGAAACAGTAACCAGGTGCAAATGCCACTGTACTATATTCTTTGCTTCATATTCAGGATCCTCTTTGAGGAAGCCAAGGACTCCCTGGTCATCAGCCAGCGTTTTACATCTTTATAAAGCAAAATACAAATCCCTGTCTTTGCCTGTAGGAGATACTAATGTTGCAGATACCTAAAAAATTTATTTACTTTTTTTGCTTTTTGCAAATGAACTGGAATATATAGTGGAAAGCATATCTTAACATCTAATGTCACCTGTATTTGGTACTATATTCAGAAACTCCTCCACAGGCTGCTTTAATCTAGATACCATCTTCCTTCTCTAGGTACAGTGAAAAAAAGGAAGTTTGAAAATCATTACGTTGCTCCGCAGAAAACTGTTATCTTCTTAAAACCACAAAGTTAGGCAAATGCTAACACTTCAAAAAAGATTCTAGGGGCCTGTGAATAATGAGCACAACAGTAACTAGATTCCAGTGGAATAATGATGGTTAGATAGCAGAGTGAAAAATAATGAGGTGAACAGAAGTGAGGTGGCTCCCATTGGTTAACAGGGTTTTCACTCTCCAAAAGGAAAAAGCAAAAGTAAATCCGATTACAAGCTTCTCTGAACCTTCACTGCTCTCCTGACAATCTGTCTCTCTTCGTCATCTCCGGCTGCAGCAGTGTCATGGCCTCCCACCACCCGCATAGTGAAATGGTACCAAGTCCCAAGTGCCTGGTTAAAGAAACTGAAGTTTCAACCCCTGAACCAGCTTGGGAGGCAACTAGTTGTGGTCCACAGAGGAGAACCTCACTCTCAGTGCAGCGACAACAGCAGGGTGAAGGGGAGGATGCTGGTGGGGGTGACAGGGTAGTGGTGGTGATGGATGAAGGACTCCTTGAACAGAAAAATAATTAGATTAAAAAAAATTCACTTTTAAAATTGAATTTGTCAAAGCAAAGGACTGCTTCCTATTTATATTGTACTCCATATTTCCTATCTAATTTTGTATCCTGAGTAACTAGCATAATGCTTCGTATAGTATTTAGTAGGTGCTGAGTCTTTTTTTTTTTTCCCTCTAAGACAAAGTCTTGCTCTGTCGCCCAGGCTGGAGTGCAGTGGCGAGATCTCGGTTCACTGCAATCTCCACCTCCTGGGGTCAAGTGATTCTCTTGCCTCAGCTTCCTGAGTAGCTGGGATTATAGGCACATGCCACCATGCCTGGCTAATTTTTGTACATTTACTAGGGACAAGGTTTCACCATGCTGGTCAGGCTGGTCTTGAACTCTTGACCTCAACTGATCTGCCTGCCTCAGCCTTCCAAAGTGCTGGGATTATAGGTGTGAGCCACCGTGCCCAGCCGAATCGGTTTTTTAAATTGCATTTTTGCTACTTGCTTTTCCTTGGTCACTGTAACTTCTTAGAAAACTGTGTTCTGCTGTGATGCAAAGGTAAACTGTGGCTCTGCATTGTGACAATCCCTGAATTAGAGTAGTCCAAAATGTGCAAATTAAGCTTTACTGTAAATATTAAACCACCTTTTAGTCCCAGTTTCTGTGTACTGCTGGGACTTTTCATCTATTTTGAGAAAGACAGAGCAGAATTTGTGTTTTGGTATCCAAAGACAAATTAGGTTAGAAGGCAAATTCAAACCATGCTTAAAGACATCCAATAAATGGAAAGGCTGCGTCAAGGAAGGGCAGGTTTACATCTCCATAGGTTCAGTCAATTTTGCTTATTAATTTAAGGGAGAAAAAAAGAATTGCTGGACATTTTTGGGAGAGATGAAATCTTAAAACTCAAGGTCACTCAGCAGGACTCAATCTCTCAACATAAAGCTTTAGGTGAGTTTAATCGTCTTTCTTTTTTTAACCAACTCTCTAAAATCTAAAGAATGGATTTGACTTGCATTTATGGTTGTCCTCATGCTAGCCTGGACCAAATAAATATTTAGCAACGGTAAGTGCCCAGGAACCAACTTTCAATTTTGGTTATATAAACTATGGTGAAGATTACATTAAGCAAACTCATATATTAAGAAGGAGCATTTTAATTTTGGAGGCTTAATGTTTAAACGATACATAAGATAGCATATTCAAAATATTTGGAAAGATGAACTTTAACTGAGAGAGGAGAGGCAGGAAAGCATGGCTCAGAGAGGATAGAAAATTGCCTGTAAGACTCCATAGCTGGGTACATGTTATGACTGATACACAGCTCTTCTTTGAATGCAAATGTATTCAATAGTGGAAATAGTGTTTATGTTGGATCTATCAATGCTCCTTTGTCCAGGGAAGCTTCCATCTGATAAATGATCAAGTTATAAACTTTATTTTTGTTGTACTACAATCATACTCTACATTCTGGATGCAAAAGCAAAAGGGGATCTCAAATTTCAGGTGGGGGCAATGAAGTTCAATTTTGAGTAAAAGGAGGTAGAATTTCAATTACAAAATACACCGGGCTGGGCACCGTGGCCCATGCCTTTAATCCCAGCGCTTTGGGAGGCCGAGGTGGGTAGATCATCTGACGTCAGGAGTTCAGGACAGCCTGGTTAACATGGTAAAACCCTGTCTCTACTAAAAATACAAAAATTAGCTGGTCATGGTGGCACACACCTGTGATCCCAGCTACTTGGGAGACTGAGGCAGGAGAATTGCTTGAACCTGGGAGATGGAGGCTGCAGGCTGCAGTGAGCTGAGATTGCACCACTGCATTCCAGCCTGGGCGACAAAGTGAGACCTTGTCTCACAAAACAAAAACAAAAACAAAAACAAAAACAAAACAACACAAACACACACACACACACACACACACACACACACTATAGATTAGATCATCTTAAGTGTTTGTAAGTGTTGTTTAAAAGGATAGCTGAAAATTCAGGTTTCAACTTTTACCGTCTACCCTTATCTACTACATACAACTTTTTCTTGCCAAAAAGCTAGTCAGGGTAAAGTCCAAATAAAGAGAGGAAGAAAAGATCTTCATCATTCCAGTGGGAAGAAAATACAGATTAAGTATTTCTTACCTGAAATGCCTGAGGCCAGAAGTGTCTTGAATTTTGAACATTTTTGAATTTTTGAATGTTTGGGTTACATATACTTACCCGTTGAGCACCCCTAGTCCAGAAATCCGAAACGCTCCAAGCATCATGTCTGCACTCAAGAAGTTAACGATTTTGGAGCATTTTGGATTTTGAATTAGGAATATTTAACCTGTATTTCTTTTTATGCTTCTCTTTACTAAAAAAGATTACTGACAAATTTAACAGCTTTTGAGCCAATATGTGAAAGTTGGCAACTATTCCTGGATAATGTTTTCAACTTAGAAAGTCATTCATAAGCCACAATTTCACTGAAAATAAAAAAGTATTATACTTTAATAAGTATTTATGCACATCCAGGGAACACTATAGATTTAACTCTCATTTTAATTCATTATCCATCTCTATTTTTCACATTGGTGACCTTTGCTGGTCTTTTAATGGTGGCTTAGAAGATTATACAATTATTCCCTCAGAGGGTCCACCTCAAAGTGAGATCTGCTGCTAAATACTAATGAATTTAAGACCGCCGTGGGCCGGGCGCGGTGGCTCAAGCTTGCAATCCCAGCACTTTGGGAGGCCGAGGCGGGTGGATCACGAGGTCAAGAGATCGAGACCATCCTGGTCAACATGGTGAAACCCCGTCTCTACTAAAAATACAAAAAATTAGCTGGGCATGGTGGTGCGTGCCTGTAATCCCAGCTACTCAGGAGGCTGAGGCAGGAGAATTGCCTGAACCCAGGAGGCGGAGGTTGCGGTGAGCCGAGATCGCGCCATTGCACTCCAGCCTGGGTAACATGAGTGAAACTCCGTCTCAAAAAAAAAAAAAGACCTCCTTCATTATCTTCCATTGAGTGATATACATCATAACTTAGGAATTCATTAAAAATACTAAAATAAAACGCAACACAAAGTAAAAAAGAAATACATATTAAAACTGAAAAGATTTCAAACGTAAAATCAGCCTGTTTGCCTTAACTGTAGTGTGATATGTTCTGAACTTAGGATTTCACTCTTCTTTAGAGTAAGAAAATTATAATACTTGAATTTGTAACTTTAACATTTAAAATTCACCCCTTGGCAGAGATGAATTTAAATTCTATAAGTATGTAAACTCTTAATTATGACCATATTCCATACTTTATTCTGTTCATTAGCACATAGCACACTGAAATCAAAACTGTGGGTTCAATTTCCACACAGATCAACTTTGTATCTTCCTGTCAATATAAATCCCCAAATGCTACCAGAGAAGTAACTTGGAGACACTGCTTTGGAGTCAGATAGGCCTGGGCTGGAATTCCAACTTGTCCACTGTTAGGCTTGCAAATATGGGCAAATGACTCTAGCATTTGGAGCCTCAGTTTCCTTTTCTATAAAATGTAGATAATACCTGTCTCAATGTCATTATCCTGAGATAAGTATAAACTGAATTAGGTATAACATGTTTGCAAAGAATTCAGAGCAGTGCCATGCATAGGCCCTTGATAGGTTCCAGCAGGTACTGAGGGCCCCCTTGCAGTCTGAGGTTAGTACGGGCATTGGCTGCAAAATGGCATGCAGTGGTCAGAATGCTCTGTCTATGAAAGAAGACTGCTTATTGCTTTCCAACTGACTTACATACTTTAATAAACAAGGACAGTCCTGGGTCCTGGGAGTCTCTATTCTATAGTAAACGTTTTCACACACACTTTATTTGGAAGGGTGGTGACTTTTAACTCTCCACCCAAACCTTCACAAAAATAGCTTTATGACATAGAAACAAGAATGTTATTGCCCTCATATACGAAGCCATTAGTATACTTCCCTTGAAAGAGGCAGGTCTTTTATTCCACTTCTTACCTTTTCAATTTTTTCATCCAGCATTCTGAAGAATTCTTGTTGGCTTTCAGAGATGTGCATGCTGAAAAACAAAGGGTAGTTGAGTGCATATTTCAGTGCTTTGCTAAACCTGGTCCCCTCAAGGGAAAAATGCTGAGATGCTGAGCCCCCAAACTTTGGGGCAGACATTTACTTATTGCAGACTTTTCCAATGAAATACTCTGAAGTTACATTTAGGATAAACAGTACAGTTATCCTGCAAATGTGTTTCATAATAGTCTATCAGTGCCTATGGCTTAAAGGAAGACAATTTCCTTTCAATGTACAGATGCTATTTATAGTAATGTTACTAGGAGCTGCATGCCAAATTCATTCTTCAGATACACATTTGTGATTTTTTAAAAAAAGCATGAGCAAGCAGCACACGGCATATTTCAACACTGCATTGAAAAGAAAAGAAAAATAAAAAAGAAAATGTATCCTAGTTATTGTATTGAAATACATTATTTTACAAAGGTTGTCAGTAACAGCATGATCTCCAGCTGACTATCGGTGTGGGCTGGTGGCAATCAAGCTGAGGACATACAGATGACCTATATTACTTCTGAGCACTTTCTGCAATGGTGGCAGCAGATACCCTCTGAAAATACAATTCCATTGGAATGTGGGAGAACGCATGTCTGAGTAGCACTGGCTCTGTGTTTCTTGTCCTGTGGTATTTAACAGCTTACTTAGTGAGACAGCTGACATGTCTGGTGGAGATGAAAATAAGATGGTAAGGAGAGCAGGGATGAATTAGAGATGGGAAGGGCACGGGGTAGTATGGGGCTTAGCGGTAACATGGTCTTAATGACAAATGTTTCTATCTAGCAGATAGCTGTGGGTGTTCCAAGGAGCTGAGGGATGCTGGGTAAGAGATGTTATCACATGGCATTTCCTTCAGTTACTATCAGTGCCTACTGGTTGTCCTGTTTGAGGGGCAGGGTGGAGTGCGGGCTCTGGAATGGCTTCTTTCCTTTATATCCAAGTATGATGAGAAGCCCATCAGATGGATCCTTTAACATCATGTCTTATCCTTTAGGGGCCACAGGGGGGGCACAGGTGACCTGAAACCTTCCAAACCTCCTGTGACAGACAGTGGAGCCTGAAGCTCAGAGGAAGTTTTCCCCTCTGTGTAAAAGCAACATTTAAAATCTGTGAGCAAGGACATCAACTCGGCTATCAAAGAAAAACAATGTACATATCTGATACCATTAATCAATTTTCATGGTTTACAAAGCACTTTCACATATATCATGTAATTTTTCCGCCTTTTATCTGACCATTCAAACAAGGTCAATGTTTTGTTTGGGAAACACGCCCTCTCTTATTGCAGGTTTGAAAGGCAGAACAGAATCTGGGATGGTGAGAGTACATTAAACTGTCTCCTCTCTGTAGATCTTGGGCAGAAAAGCCAGTTTGCATAACTGAGTTTTCCCAGGTTCTTCATGTTTCAGTGTCTCAAGCACCAAAACATTTTTTATTTGAGCCATGTTGGATGCAAATCTTTCTAAATGTCATACTCTCATAATAGAGGATCTCTCTCATAAACATTTCTTAGCTTTCACTTAATAAAGAGAGGCCATTTCCATGGTCTTAAATTATAATGCTCTTCTGTAATACTGTGATACCCAGAACCACTAGATGGGTTGAGCTGGCTCACTTTAAGCAAAATGGCTTCAGCCTCCAGGGCATTTGTTTTTTGCCTGGTTTTGAGGTTTTTCTCTCATTTCTTCTCGTCAGCATGGTGTCCATCCTCTTTCAGCTTTCTTCCCAGTTGCTGCTTCCACTCTACGTGGAAACAGCACAGCCAAGTTGTTTAGAGTTGTGTGTACAATTAGTATAAGCAGACTCCGTGGGGGAACCTGGGGCTTTCTTGTGAGTGGAAACATCCATGTTCTGTCACCTGTTTTGGCTGCTCAGGCTCCTTTTCAATGTCTTTTATGTTCGTGGCCAAGGTCTTAAGAGGTCAGTTTGCTGGACAGCTCCAGGTTCCAGATTGGAAAGGCATTAAGATCTTTCTTTCTCTCTCTCTCTCTCTCTCTCTCTTTTTTGGGGGGGGCAGAGTCTTGGTCTGTCGCCTGGGCTGGAATGCAATGGTGAAATCCTGGCTCACTGCAACCTCTGCCTCCCAGGTTCAAGAGATTCTCCTTTCTCCTGCCTCAGCCTCCTGAGTAGCTGGGACTACAGGGGTGAGCCATCACGTCCAGCTAATTTTTTGTATTTTTAGTAGAGATAAGGTTTCACCATGTAGACCAGGCTAGTCTCTAACTCCTGACCTCAGGTGATCCACTCACCTCAGCCTCCCAAAGTGCTGGGATTACAGGCGTGAGCCCTGAGCCTGGCCAGATTGCTCTCTCTTAATATAGGTAACTGGATAGATAGATAACCATATGTATATGTTGCCCCAGAAATGTTGTCCTAGAAAATATGCCAGAGACCTCAAAAAAATGGCATTTTTAGGATTTGACGTTCATTGGGGAAACTCACTGGTTGGAGTTTTTAGCATATATTGCCTTGAATGTAACAGGAGGGCAAAAAATATTTCTTAATTAATTGACAGAGTCCTCCTATCTAAATTCACGTGATTCATGACCCCTCACTGAAGCATTGAGTTTGTCAGCATGGGTGATGTGCAGGTCTGAGTCCTAATCTATAAAACCAGGGCTGGTCTCTGGGGTCCCTTCTGTCTATGATTGTCACTAACTTCCATTACCTCCTTTATTTAAATACTACGACAAGAAAACATCCACGTTTGGTCAGTACTCATATATATGCATATGAGAGGAACAAGACGGAGAATTTTTAAATAAAAGTACCTCTGCAAATGCATCCGCATCTCTGTGATCAAGAATGCACTTATCACAGGGTAAGGGGTCCCTATCAGGAGCTTGACACCAAAAGTGCTGGCTAAGGATCTTGGGATGCTTATACGGGAAAGCAACCATAAAACTCTCAGGGGTTTCAGCTTTGTGTTGCCCCATGATACAGCAATGCTGCCTGCTTCTGCTTTGTCTAAGATCATTAGAACATGCCTGCCTGCCTTTGCCACATCTTATAACCCACGAAGAAGAGGCACACACCAGACTGAGTCACTGTCTTCACATCCTCAAGTACAGTGCATGAGTTGTGTTAGAAAAGACTGAATGGAAGGGAGCTTTGTGATTGTCAAAGCCTGGAGCACCAGACAGCCTCCTCCAGATAGCCTGCATGGTCACTGGAAGCGACTGTCAGGCATGGCCAGGGGAGCAAATACCCACACGGGTGTGCCTTGTTTCTGGTGGGGTGTCATCTGAAAGCATGAGGCCTACTCCGCAGTTCTCCATGGGATCGTTTCAGACAGAAGCAGAGAAATTTCTTCAATGGGGCAGAGACAGAATTTTCACTCTGACAAAATAAATTACCCCATATCAACTGATTCCCACCTAGATAAACCTGAGTCCCCTCTTTTCATGTGGAAGAAACTTATCCACACAGTGGCATGAATATGTGTCTACCTTCAAGAGTACAAACTGCACCACGGAAAACAGCCCCTGTGTAATGACTTGATTCTAAAATCCTTTCTGATGCACATTTTGATGACTGTGAGTGGGGGAGACGAGGAGGAAAAGCTCATTGGCTTTCTATTTTTTTTTTCAAGGTATTAGAAAGGGATCACTTAATTGTTTATGACTCAAGCTTATAAAGGATGAATAATTGATTCTAAGAGTTATTAATATTCACTTACAAAAGCCTACACCTTGGTACCTGACTTAGCCAATAAGGCTCGATGATTTTGGCAATTCCTATTTCTCTCTAGTAACTAAAACTCAACCTTGAAAATTCACTGCGCCACTGGAACACGCCCTGTGGGCCCTTAGCACTGACAAAGCTCTTGTGAGTTAACTCTGCACCCTCAAACACTCTTCTTCCTGGGACTTCTCGGCTTTATGGGACTAGGGATGACAATACTATGATATCCTAATGCAAATTAAACAAATTAATGAATGGTGGGCAAAATGGCCTTTAGAGCTAAAAGATATGGGGCTTTCACTTTTAGTGAAAGTCTGTCTTAAAAATTAAAATTTGCAAATGATAAAAAGTTAAGCATGAAAGTACGAGGAGACAAAGTCCTAATTCCCTAATATCTCACCAGTGAAGCAGGGCAGAATAAGCCACCCTAAGATATGACCACTTTGTCATAAGGATTATTTTGAGCTAAAGGCAACTGAAAACAGCAGGTGCAGGAGGGGAATTCTGACCTCATTTCTTCCTGCAAGTACGAGATGGAACTCCCATGTGAACAATGCCCTCCCAAGACCAGGGGGAGAGAAACATTCTCATCACCAGAAACAGGGAGTCAAGGCCAAGAGAACTCTGTGCTAAGAGCCCTTGTTAAAATAATTCTTTGCTTCCTTTAGTCTCCCCACATATTTCAGGTGGTTTTCCACAACTGCCTGTTTGTTCAACCTAGTATACAAATATGTGGGTTTTGTCACTTCCTGGGTCTTCATTTTCCTATAGGGGCTCCCATGTACATGCAGAAATTGATATGCTTTTCTCCTGTTAAATCTGTCTTATGTCAATTTAATTCTCAGGCCCAGCCAGAAACCCTGAGAGGGTCGGCGTAAAGTTCTGCCTCCCCTGCGATACTAAAATTCCATTACCAAGTGGGTTCCTGGTAAATCTTAGCCTGAATACAGTATTTTCTTTATGATCATCATTAGTTTGCAATTGGACCTCAGGAACAGATTCATCCTAACCCTCATTCTGTGGCAGATTCCTACTAGTAGTTCATGTACAGTTCATTTTTATTTATTTTGTTAATTACTTTGTTTTTTAAAAGTAGCATAATAAACACCTGTGGAATCAAAAATAAAAACAAACAAAAGCGAGGACCTTGACAACAACCCATAGCTGACTCCATGTTAGCTCCTATCCGTGGGTGGATTTCCACAAGCCAAGGTGACTATCGCTCCCTCACTTTCCTTTTCTACAGTTTTAACACATCTCTATGTGTGCCTTTAAAAGACAGATTATTTCAGTTGTGTTTAACTGTATAAAGAGTGCATCATGTTCTATGTAATCTTTCAGGACTCACTCTTTTCTTGTAATATTATACTGCCAGGGCCCATCCAATATTGTGCATGGCTGCTGTGCGTCTGGTTGAACTGCTGACTGATATCCCATTGTGTGAATATAGTGTAGTGTGTTCATACTACCTCCTGTGAAAGGCATTTGGGTTGTTTCTATTATTTAAGGCATTCTTACCAAGCGCCAGATGATGCGATAAGTGGTGAGCATACCCTATTTCATTTGTTTTCTAGTCCCACAAAACAGGATTTTTCACTTCCAGTTCCCTCTGAGAAAACTGAAGGTCAAAGACAGTAGGCTACTTGCTTGATATCAATTTAAAGCATTAAATGAAGGTATGAGGATGACATGCCTTCATGATGCTATGAGGATGACCTGCCTTTATGGTATGGGATTGTCCTTCCACTCATGGGGAAAAAGAAGCGTCATCTTATTTCATGCATCTGTATAGTAAACTGATCCTTTATGTCAGCAAGTAGGAAAGTAAAACTCTTCTCTTGGCCCCCCAGGAAGATTTCTTAATTGAATTCTAGGCATCTAATGTTCTGATTCACAGTTTAAAATACATATACACGTGTCCACATACAGGTACACACACACACACACATACACACACACACACACAAGCATGTGTGGAAAACAGAATTTTCTCCTTTGAAAGCTTCAGCACACACCAGTCTGTGAAGTGCGCTGCTTCAGAGTGTCAGAGTTAAGTAAGTATTCTTTCAAACAGAAAGGAGAAATTCTCCTCCATTCAATCTCTCTTTCTAACTCTGAGATAAGGGAAGCATTTAAAAATAGCATATTTCAGACATCTTGGATGACAAGGTGGTTTGGCTGTGTTATCAGATATCTGCTGTCCCCAAAGGCAGATACAGTGGATGAAAGCGATCAGCAGTGAAGCAGGCTAGGGAGGTTGTGGCTGCAGCACAACATTTACCCGAGGGTGAAAACATCAGCTGCATCATTACACTGACATGGTAAATGGTAAGTGGATTTTAATATGTCCAGTTTTCTCTGAAAGTAAAAATTAAATCACAGAGCCCATTACCTACTCCCTGAGGTCTCCTAACTGCGACACCACAGTGGCCATGGCAGCAGCGATTCCACAGACACTGAGCCAGGTTAAAGTGATTATGAACTAGGTAATTTTTGTTGCAATCTTTTGGAAGAACCAGAGATAACATACCTTCTTCTGCTTATAATTTCGATTTATGGGGCTATCCATATATACATGTAATGGTCGAATTTATTTGGGGTAGGGGCGTGACTGTCAAATATACCAGTGTCATTGGTACTCTCAATAAATTGGTTGCATTTAGGTGGAATACCACAGCACATTTGTAGCCTCTGGGATAACACAGCCTCTTTGAAGGAGAGGACAGCCTCAAAGTCATACAAAGGACATTTTAGCATTAAGGTTAGAGTCAGTTCTAGAACAATCTAGAAAACCACTAACTATTGTTTTTAACTTGAAGAGGAAATGACCTTTTAAATGAAACATTTAGGTATAGTCATTTGTTGGTATTCTACAATCATATTTTCAAGTTTCTACTGTAAGTGGGAAAATGTATTAGGCACTCTATAGAGCCTCATGTGATATATTCTTTTTTTTCCAAGTTAAAATTTTTTCTTTTCTTTTTAACTTTCCAGTTGTGATACACCTAATACATAGAAGACATATAATGCTATTTGTACATTTTTTGCATAATAACAATTGAACGCTCATGTAATTACCACCCAGATTAAGAAACAGAGCCTCTGGTTCCACTGTCTTCCATTTGGTCAGAAAGAACTAAAGCCTTTTCATTTCCTTATATCCCTTTATTGTTTTATCGTATACTAATTTACAACACATGCCTTAGTTCTGCCTGTTTTTTGTTTTACTTTATATCAATGAAATCATATATAGGCATGTACTGCTGCTTACTCTACTGCCTCATCTTTATACTTATGAGATTCCTCCATCATGATATGTGTACCTATAGTCACTCATTTTCGCTGATGTATAGTATTCCCATCACAAGATGTCACAGTTTAGTTACCCATTATATTTCAATGAACATTTGGGTTTTACCTTTTAGAGCTTCTTAATTTTAAGGCAGTCACATTAATTAATGATTTTCCTTAAGACCTACATCCTTGGTGTCTTATTCAAAATTCTTCCCTACCTCATAGTCATAGTGATATTCTTCTCTGTTTTCTTCTAACTGGTCTACAAAGTCAGCTTTGTCACATATTGTACGTCTGTTTGCTTTATTCTGTTCTGTTACACCAAACCACATTTTCTCAATTACTAAAGCTTTATATAATAGGTCTTGATTATCTGGTAGGCAAAATGGAATTCACTCTGAAAACATTTTTAGCTTTAAAAACAATACGGCTGTCCCTCGGTATCTGTAGGGGATTGGTTCCAGGACCTCTCTCTGTAGATACCAAAATCTGCAGATGCTCAGGTCCCTGATATAAAATGGCATAGTATTTGTATAACCCCCACACATCCTCCCGTATACTCTAAATCATCTCTAGATTACGCGTAATACCTAACACAGTGCCTACACGACATTTCATTCCCAGGAATTCAACACAGTACTGGGTGTGTGGCAAGTTCAAGTTTTGTTTTTTGGAACTTTGTAGAATTATTATTTTTTGAATATTTTTGATCCATGGTTAGTTGAATCCACAGATGCAGAATCCATGGACATGGAAGGCCAACTGTGTAAGGAAAACAGGAACTAGAACTTACTTTGCTCTGGGTTGATGAACTAATCCCGGAACCTCTTTATTAGTTTTAAGTCTGACATTTGAGCTGGCACTTTTTTCCTGAAACACATAAGCACACACATGTAAAAGACAGGATTAGAATCCACGATTAAATGAGTGCATGAGTTTTCATCACAGAAACATTCAATCTGTTTGGAGCCCTACATCACAGCTGGTTACCTCACAAGGGCATAAGTCCTTGCAAAGAGGACACACAGAACAGGTAGAACCTGTCTAACAGGAAACATTGCTGTGAAAAGAGAAATTCGCTTTATAACAACTGTGACTTTGTTTAGAAAACAACGTGCAGTTAATATTTAATTCTTTAACACTAATAGTAATGAATCAAAGAACAGAAGATCTAGTGTCAAGAGAAACAACAGCAATACAATCACAGCCTTTGTTCACTTGCTCAGGTTAACTGACTTCCGAGCAATGTATTTGTAAAAGACAACTGCACTTACTGAGATGTAAAGTTTGCTGAAGGTCCTAGCCGTGACAGGAACAGGAACATGACTAAAACCCACAACAGATGCTGAGATTGAATTCAATTGAATTAATACAATTCAATCCTAGCCTGCATTCAAGAAACACTTCCTTGGCTTTTAGCTTGACCTGATTTCTTATTTCCAATAACTAGCCACTTAGGAAGGAAATGTCCTCAAATCTTAAAATGTTAGTATATCAGTAAGAACATGATCTCAGTCATACTACCGCTCTGTTTTTCAACATTATCTTAAAAAGATATTCAAGGTGCTTTGTAATTTGCTTGCAAAACATACTCCTAAAATGAAAGGAAAGACCACTTTGAACCTATGTAACATGTGACTATATACACTCAAAGAACTTTAATATGGCCAAGTCTAGAGTGAGTAATAAAAACTGTCATGGGCCCATGCAACATTCTCATCACATGCAGAGTGATGTGGGATGACACATAAGACAGACGGACACTAATGAGCTCTTTTAGAGGTCCTATTTCTCTTAGGACAGCAGAAACCACTTAAGTCAGTGAAACTCCAATGACTTGCATATTCCAGTTGTTTGTTATTAACCATCAAACATGAACGTGCCTATAATCAGTACTCCAAAAAATAAGTGATTCTGTTTGTGTTATTTTAGGAAAAGAAACAATCAGAAATTTCTTGCAGTCTGTCTTACCTTCTTTACCTTATACTAACTTAAGAATGTTTTCATGAACATTTAAGAAGGATAAAACATATATTGTTCTGTCTGCTGATGTAAGTCAGGGAATAGCAGATGAACACTCCTGATCTTTTACAGAGCAGGCAGGAGAAATGAGAAAACCCAAACATACTCACACTAGAAGGGCAGGGCCCATGTCTTTTCTTTAACACATGGGGTTAGAGGCCTGGCACTTCACGGGAAGCACTCGGCAAATACCGGTGAATGAATGAACAATGTCAACAAGTCATTAACTTGTTTTTAAAAGTTAAAGGTCAAAATATCTCAAATGTAGTCTCTTTGTAGGACTGAAGATGTAGTTTCCTTCCAAGTTGGTCCTTTTCTCTTTTAAATCTTACGGTGTCTTAAACACTGATAATGAACAAGACTTTATCCTTTCTCTTTCACATAATTTCCACCACTCTTTGAGCTTAAAAGAAATGCACTGTAATTTTAAACACTGCTGAGGCAGGAAAGTGACTTCTAATTCTAAAAAACAAAGGATATACAGTGGTATACTATTTAAATTCCATTTACTTAACTGCACCCTTGAAAATGATGTTGCCTCACCAAGTCTTTCTTAAAAACCCGTTCTGTGGTTGCTAAGTAAGGAACGATCTCCCCAAACAACAGGACTCAACGGGCAAGCAGGACTGAGAACAAGCTGGCCCTCAGTAATGCACCACTCCCAGAAGTGCACTTCCAGGGACAAAAGTGAGACAGAGGCAACAGGAGGAAAAGCAGTTTTGGATTTCCCATATAATTACAAAAAACTTTCTTCTACTGTGCATTTACAATGTGTTTGCTCATTTTTACAAATTTTCAGTTACCAAGACCAACAATAACCACTCACTGAGCACGTACTTAAGTCAGGCATTATTCTAAGCATTTACACATATTAATTAATTTTAATAATAATAAATATATATATCTTATATGTGTATATTATATGTATATATTATTAATTTTAACATGGCTAAATATACATATTATATGTATACATGTTAACTCATTTTTATGCCTACAATACCTCTCACAGAGAAGTACCATTATTAACCCCATTTTATAGATGAGGAAGCTGAGGCACGCAGTGGTGAAGCACTTACCTGAGATCATACAAGTAATAAGCAGTAGCACAGGGATTTGAACCCAAGCAGCCTGGCCCCAAACTCCATGCTATTCGCTACTAGGCAAGTATTTCTCAAACTTTTTAGTATGAAGACCCTTTTACCTATAATCTCCAAATTTGGACACATTTCATTGTACAATATTAAAAAATTACATTTGTTAATATCACCATCAATCTCATCAGAAAACCATTGACTAAAGCTGTCAAGCTCAAGGTAGTGAATATAAGTTTTCCTAACTTCTAGATTTTGTTTAAAATTTGAATTTTATCACTGGCAAGAGACACTGTCAATTATTTTTCTTGAAGTGTCAGGCTCTCTTCATTCTTTTTTAAGAAAGCGATTTATCAAATACCAGGTCTGAATATCCATAATTTATCTGCCAGAGAGATATATTTTTAAAATAGAGATGATGTCCCATTAAAAAACGACGCTGGTTCAGCTTGCAATTCAATCAACTACAGAGGTGTTTTCTCTGTGATAACCACCTAACTTGGACATGCAGAAGAAATGTTTTATGCATACTTCCTACTTCATCACACAGGCTATTAAAAAGATATGCATCCAAAGTCTCAGGACACAAAATCATGTATAAAAATTACTAGTGGCTGGGCATGGTGGCTCATGCTTGTAATCCCAGCGCTCTGGGAGGCAGGCAGATTATGTGAGGTTAGGAGTTCCTGACCAGCCTGGCCAACATGGTGAAACCCCATCTCTACAAAAATACAAAAATTAGCCAGGTCTGGTGATGTGTGCCTGTAATCCCAGCTACTCGGGAAGCTAAGGCAGTAGAATCAATCACACCACTGCACTACAGCCTGGGTGACAGAACAAGACTGTCTCAAACAACAACAACAAAAGCCCCACAAAAATAACAAAAATCACTAGCACTCCCATACACCAACAACGGTCATACCAAGAGCTAAATTCGGAATGCAGTCCCATTCATGATTCACACACACACACACACACACACACACACACACACCCTAGGAATATAGCTAACCAGGAAGGTGAAAGATCTCTGTGAGAGCTGCAAAACACTGCTCAAAGAAATCAGATAACACAAATGAAAAAAACATTTCATGCTTACAGATAGGAGGAATCAATATTGTTAAAATGGCCATACTGTCCAAAGCAATTTATAGATTCAATGCTATTTCTATTAAACTACCAATGTCTTCACAGAACTAGAAAAAACTAATTTAAAATTCATATGAAACCCAAACAAGGGCCCAAATAGCCAAGGCTATCCTAAGGAAAAAGAATAAAGCTGGAGGCATCATGCTACCTGACCTCAAACAACTCTATAGGGCAACAGCAACCAAAATAGCAGGTCCTGGTACAAAAACACACATAGACCAATGGAACAAAACAGAGAACCCAGAAATAAGGCTGCACACCTACAACTATCTGACCTTTGACAAGTCTGACAATAACAAGCAATAGGGCAAGGATTCCCTATTCAATAAATGGTGCTGGGATAACTGGCTAGCCATATGCCGAAGCTTAAAACAGGACCCCTTCCTTGCATGATATACACAAATTAACTTAAGATGGATTAAAGACTTAAATGTAAAATCCAAAACTATAAAAACCCTGGAAGAGAACCTAGGCAACAGTATTCTGGACATAGGAATGGGCAAAGATTTCATGATAAAGACACCAAAAACAACTGCAACAAAAGCAAAAATTGACAAATGGAATCTAATTAAAGAGCTTCTGCTCAGCAAAACAAAACAAAACAAAACACTATAATCAGAGTGAACAGACAACCTACAGAATGGGAGAAAAATTTTGCAAACTGCATTGATAAGGTCTAATATCCAGCATCAATAAGGAATTTAAACAAATTTACAAGAAAAAAAAAACCCCAAACAACCCCCATTAAAAAGCAGGCAAAAGACATGAACAAACACTTCTCAAAAGAAGACAGACATGTGGCCAGTTAAACAAATTCACAATTCACACACTTGATATCACTGATCATTAGAGAAATGCAAATCAAAACCATAATGAGATACCACCTTGTATCAGTCAGAATGGCTATTAAAAAGTTGAAAAATAACAGATGCTATTGAGGTTGTGGAGAAAAAGGAACACGTACACATTGTTGGTGGGAGTGTAAATTAATTCAACCATTATGAAAGACAGTGTGGCAATTCCTCAAAGATCTAAAAACAGAACTACCATTTGACCCAGTAATCCCTTTACTGATTATATACCCAAAGGAATATAAATCATTTTATCATAAAGACACATGCATGCATATGTTCATTTCAGCACTACTCACAATAGCAAAGACTTGGAATCAACCTAAATGCTCATGAGTGGCAGACTGAATAAAGAAAATATGGTACATATACACCACGGAATACCATGCAGCCACAAAAAAGAACGAGGTCATGTCCTTTGCAGGAACATGGATGGAGCTGGAGGCCATTATCCTTAGCAAACTAAAAGAGGAACAAAAACCAAGTATCACATGTTCTCAGTTATAAGTGGGAGCTAAATGACAAGAACACAGGCACAAATAGAGGGGAACATCACACACTGGGACCTATTATAGGGTGGGAAGTGGGAGGTGGAAGAGGATCAGGAAAAATAACTAATGGGTACTAGGCTTAATACCTGAGTGACAAAATAATCTGTACAACAAACCCCTATGACATGTATTTACCTATGTAACAAACCTGCACGTGTATTCTTGAACTGAAAATAAAAGTTAAATAAAAAAAGGTATGCAAC